GACACATGTAAAACCAATACCTTTCTGGGGGTTGTCTTGCTTTTGCCTCTCCATTGCACCTGTTGTCACTTTGATTGGCACCAAAGCAGCTGAAACTGATTCACAATGACCTGTGCTTCCTAAATGGACAGATTGATATCCTTAAAGTTTAACTGACTTGGTGTTACACTGTGACCATTAAGGCCTAGTCCACACGGACCCGTGTACTTCTGAAACTTTTTTAGGTTCCACTTTCCAAAAAAAATTCATCCACACGAGTGGTGTGATAAAAAAAATACAATATCCACACGAAACCGCAAAACCCGTTACCAAGTGAATTAATACTAGGGCTGTACCCAAATATTCGGATATTCGAATATTTGTTTCTATGGGTAGGTATTCGTTATGAAAATTTGGTATTCGATGTTTGTTTTTTATTTTACGTATTTTTTTTATTTTTTTTTACATATTTTTTTGGTGCTAAATGCAGTCTTTTTGTTGTTGGTAAATGTAGGTTATCAATAAAAATCAAAACTTTTAAATTGCATTGTTAAAAATGTGAAAATATAGTATCCTACCAAATGAGCTTGTGCGCACGGCAGGCTTGAGCGCATCCGTCTGAGGCTGTGGATCAATGCCAAGTTTTACCACTTTATCACTATTCCCTCTAAGTTGTAGCTGTTTTTTCGTTACCTTTTGAATTTAATATGAATTATGGAACCGTTTTGTACAATAAATTATTGTTTAAAGTTTCTTCTTTCTTTTGGAGTGCATGACACAAGTGTGTTTTGAAAACGACCGCGGACTGTCACCTGCTCAACGCATCAGTACCTTTGGATGCCATGACATGTCGCTGCTGTGCAAAACTCAAAGTCTTTGAAAGGAGCTGAGCCTGGCGTAAAACTGGAGAGAGCAGGCAGCACGGCCGCAGCATGGCCACAGCACCCGCAGCCCCCTGACCTGGCCGGATCCAGAGCCTCCATTGACAGGCCCATTGCTGCTTTCGTGGTAGTGTCATTGGGGTAGCTAGCAACAGGAGCAGCCTCCTTCGTTGGTCATTAGGTTGAGCAGCTGGATATGCCATCACAAATAAAGTTAGCACCAGCATGTTTGTTTGGTCTGCCATTTCACTAGCTATTTACCGTCGCTCTGACGTCAAACAGTGGAGACAGGTAATAAAATACTGCGGTTATCCTATCTACATGCAACCGCTGGTACCGGAGTCTTCCAAAAACTTCACCCTGGACTCGCGGTTTCGGGGGCCCAAAAGTGCGGTTGCGTGTGGCCAAACAGCCAAATCGCATAGAATAATACATGGTTTCAGAAGTACACGGGTCTGTGTGGACTAGGCCTAAGTGTTACCTTAAATTTTGTGAGCAGTAGTTCTTTGTAGAACCTCCCATTGTGGGTTCTGGGTGAAACCTTTTACACATGGTTCTGGGTATAACCTTTTATGTTGGGTCTTAGGTAGATCCCACTGAAAGGGTTCCAGGTTGAACCTTTATTAAAGCCTCTACCAGGAGCCAAAAAGGGGTCCTCTATGGAGACAAGCTGAAGAACCTTATGTGGTTCTAGTGAGCACATTTATTTCTAGGAGTGTAGGACCTGAGAGGACCCATTTATCTTCCAGAGAGACAGAAAACTTCTGGAACAAGTTTCATGTTTTTGTTTAAATAAGCTGCCAAAAAGCAAATAATGGATGTCATGGGAACAGAGGTTGGAGCGGTGTTTCTGTGGGGTTGTTTTGGAGGTTTCTCTTTACACAGCTTTAAATACTGGCAGCAGGTTTTTCTGGAGAATTTGCACAACAGCACCAGAGCACTTTGGTAAAGTCTACAGTTTACTTTAATCATCATGGTCAACATCTGAAACAGTCATCCTCCTCATTTTCACCAACAATACAATAATGATAACCAGTGAAACCAAATATCTAATATCACCATCAACAGGTGGAAACAGCAGTCATCATCACCTGTCATCACATCACCACCGTCATCAGCTGTTTGTCAGCTTAGCCATCTGTAGCAGCAGCAGCAGCAGCATCGAGCCAGTGGTTTAATAAATTAGGAAGTACATAACAAAACAGTTCAGGCAGTCAAGTCCGTCACCAAACCAAAATGAGGTATATTACACTCACTTCATTGTCACCCACCAACAACAGTTCAAACTAAATCATTTGCATGTGAAGCAGCACATTCTGTAACACTCAAACAAATACAGTGTCGCCATAAATTACATATCAAAAAGACACAAAAATACTTTTCACGTTGTCATTTATCTAAATCTGTCAACATATTATATTATTTAGCTTGTTTTTCACCAGTAACCATCATGTATGAGAAAAATAACTACTTTACTTCAGTGCAAAACATCAGCGATAAATTACCATAAGCAGAGTTAGGGTACAGGAATACAGATTCTAGATGACTGTGTGTTAATGAACAGAGGTGAATAAGGCAATGCTTGACTCTGTACTGTTCAAGATATTCATATGCCATTGTGAATGGAAAAACTCTAAACCATCATATGTTACAGAATTTAAGGCATCGGTTGTCTTGGAGTGTCATACAGTACTTTGCAATGCATCATATATCCAAGACAACCATTTCTCCTCGGTATGATCATACATTTTTAAAGGGACAGTACACCCCAAAATCAAAAACACATATTTGTCCTATTACCTGTAGTGCTGTTTATCAGTCTAGATTGTTTTGGCGTGAGTTTACGAGTATTGGAGATATCGACCGTAGAGATGTCTGCCTTCCCTCCAGTATAATGGAGCTAGATGGCACTCGACTTGTGGTGCTCAAAACGCCAAAAAACTACATTTGAAAAACTCAACAGCAATGTTTCTTTCAAGAAATCATGACCTGGTTACTCAAGATAATCCACAGACCTTGTTGTGAGCAGTTTCATGTTGGTATTATCTTCTTTCTACTTAACTACACCCACCAAATATATCACTGCGCAGAAGGAAGAGTGCATCTACTGCTAGCTCACCTAGTACCACTGAGCTAGCTAATGTTACAGCTCAGTCGAGGAGGACGTCATTAATGTTTACTTCTCAAGCATGAACGTCACACCCATGAGTAAACAGACACATCTTCGGCACAGTGATAATGTTTGGTGGGTATACTTCAGAAGAAAGAAAATAGTTGAGCTAGCCTCCTGTCCCAGAGTCCTGCATCAGGTTGTTTTGTTTTTTGTCTTTATTTTATTTCCAGGTTTGGTTCTGGGTAAAAAAGGACATGCAGTTGAATTTGTGGTATTGGATGATGAATATATTAAAACAAAATGACACTAATAATAATATTTTAATTAATGTTTTAAAGTTTTAATCCTCTGATTGCTGACTTTGCGTGTTGGCTCTGTCCTCTGTGTCAGCTTGAATATGAGAGCCGCTTCAGTCAGGTGCTTTACTGATAAGCACATTAACTGTTATGGCACGGTGGTGCAGTGGTCAGCATTGTCGCCTCACAAGGTGGGGGGTTCGAACCCCAGGGTTTGGGAGCACTTCAGTGTGGAGTTTGCATGTTCTCCCCATGTCAGCGTGGGTTTACTCCAGGTACTTCGGCTTCCTCCCACGGTCCAAAGACATGCAGGGTAACTGGTGACTCTAAATTGTCCGTAGGTGTGAATGCGAGTGTGAGTGGTTGTCTGTCTCTATGTGTCAGCCCTGTGATAGTCTGGTGACCTGTCCAGGACATACCTCGCCCCTCACCCAACGATAGCCGAGATAGGCTCCAGCCCCCCTGCGACCCCCAACAGGATAAGCGGCTGCGGAAAATGAATGAGTGATTATGATGGGATTAGTGGTTTTGGGTTTTGCATCAGTGGGTCAGGTTGGTTTGCAGATCTAATCAGTCATATGTCCAGGTGGCGGGGCAGGTGTGGTATTACACATTGTGTTTCCAGTTTGGGAGCGGGTCTTGAAAATCAGAACTGTGCATAACTCTATTTTGTCCATGAGTAGATGTACTCTTCCTTCCTCACAGTGATACAGTTGGTGGGTGTGGATTATCTTGAGTAACCAGGTCAGGATTTCTGGAGAGAGACATTGCTATTGAGTGTTCTAATGTATATATAAATATATATATTTTTTGGCACTTTGAGCACCACAAGCCGAGTGCCATCTACTTCCATTGTATTCCAGAGAAGACATCTCTACAGCCGATGTCTCCAGCACTCAGCAACTCATATCAAAACAGTCTAGATGGATAAATAGCACTACAGATAAGGGGAAGAATGATTTGGGGGTGAACTGTCCCTTTAAATGCCTGACCACAAAATAAAATATGTATCAATTAGTAATTACATAAATATTTTATCTATGTTTTCTTAAGGTTTCAGAAAAGAAATGATCTGCAGCTACTCATATTTGGCTCACTGGGCATTACTTTTAGTTTTGGAACTGTGTGACACATACAGTATCTCACTGTTGGCCCCTGTTCTGTGTATATAAATCCATTAAAAACCTTTGCAATATTCTGTATCCTCCGTTTTCTGAACTAAGGCGCTGAAGCTCCTCTATCTTCTGTGTGTCAGCTCTATAACAAGTGGAGCCCAGTCGAAGCCCTCTGACACAGAGCTGCCTGTCTTCTGATACAGAACAGAAATGGATATAATAAGTACAACATGTAAGTGAGTCAGATAACACTTTGTCAGTCAAGAGGGCTTAGGTCTGCAAGAACTGCCTGTAGGGCCGATATATACAGAATATGTTTCTATTCAAGGTGAGAGCAAAAAGGTGCAGCCCAGTCTCTGGAAAAATGTTGACTTTGAACATTTCTGCAAACCACAGATACATTACATTTACACGTTTTATATGCATCATATAAACCTTTCTAAAATGACGTCGTGGATGAGTTGACTCTGTCATCAGAAGGTGGATGGGATGGTGAATGGCATGACACCTCGGTGAAACGTCTGCCAAGCTTAAGTCCACTGTTTGACACCAACAACAATAACAAAACCAGCTGTGATTTAGTGTTTCCAGTGACATTTTGCGCTCCAAATGTTGGTGTTTTTTAGTGACCTGTCACTGTTTTTCCAGCGGGGATAGTGGCTCAAAAAAACGTGTTTTTTTTTACCAAGGTATTGCTGCTTTTTCAAGGGAGATTATGCCCCCATAACTGGGCATTTTAACCCAAAACATGATCTTTTGCTAACCATTTCCAGATGGTTTTTGTGCCTGACCACGTGTCAACCACAGCGTTGAAACATAAAGTTACAACATATGAATCTTTAGTGAAAATTCAGTCAGGAAGACAATACTGTTTCTATGCTACAGCTGTAACTTTCGTCTTCACCCTGCCATTCTCTCCTTGCACGCATACTCATTCTCTATCTCTGGCTGTCAGTGTTCGGGGCTGTCAATCGAGTCATCAGCCGATCCACAATCAACCAATAGCACAGCGATACATCTTCTCCATCAGCCTATCATCTCATTGCTTATTTCAAATATGGTTCTTTTTCTGCTGCAGCCATGCGCACCCTCCATCTCCCCATCGTCGCCTAGTCTTCTCAGATGCAGCCGCTATGTGCCTCATCAGCCATCGACCAAAGTCATTGGCCACCACCACCTCCACCAGTGTCTAGACTCCATGGGGGGATTTATCTTGCTGCCACTCAGATGTCCCATGATCACAAATAATCTCCCTCAAATCTGTTAATCTGTACACTTATATTATGCATTAAACTTCATCTTTATTTCCTTCTTTTGTCTCTCCTGATTGAAATCCACTATAGAATAATGTACAAATGTAATGTATCTGTGGTTTGCAGAGACGTACAATGCCAACATCTATTCTGGTGATTTGGTTGGATATTGCCATCTTCTATAAACACCCATCTCTTTAAAAACAGACACGTTGATTGCCAAGTATCTTTCCTAAAAACACCGTAGATGAATCTTTAGCTTTTCATGGACGGCTGTCATTGCTATTCAATATCACATGATGTCAAAATAAAGACATCATACACATTTGCTTTTCCTGTCCATCTCCCTCAAATGTGTGAGAAAGCATGAGGCGGTCTCTACTCCTCTCTGTGAGCACAAAACCCGGCCAAGTACAGCTGATCACGCTCCACTTGACTAAACAACCTGAGGGGCACATGTCAGTCATGACAGCAAAGGCAGCCGGTTTGAAGGCCTATTTCTCCCATTAAAACTCCACTTGGCCGGGTCGGTAAGTCCTTCAGAAACGATGGCAATGTGAAACCCAGAAAAACACATAATCTTACTTTTTCCTTCGTTGACCGTTACACTACAAGGCAACGTACTACAAAAATAAAAGTACCTTAAAATTTGTTAAATCGGGAGCGTGTTTTACCCCATCAAGTCTGAAATAACCTGAGCCGAACTGTGCAGTGGCACCTTCTCTTCGTCTGCGATACAATTTGGGGACTGTCAAGTTTTGGTTAGGCTAGTTGTCAGTGCTACATACAGTGCCGGTGTATCACTTGCAAACACATTGCACAGACTAAAACAGACATACAGCCATTCCCTATCCTTTTATGTAAAGATAATATGAGTATATACTACAGTAATGTCTAACAAAAGCAATATCAGACTGAAAGCTACCCCGGTTAGAATAATGAGGCTATGAACTGGCCGTTCTTCTTGGGTGAGCACATCTGTGTCTCCAGGTGGATGTGAAATCTGCCGTTGCTCATTGTCCTCACAAGTTCACTGCACTCATCTGCTGTTCTGGGGACTCAGTATGCAAGCACAGTGGTATTCCTGCGCAGGGATTTGCCCTTGTCTATAGTCACTTTTTTTTTCTTTTTGGCATGTCAGACCAAATTTAAGCAGACGTGGACAGGAACAACCAATATTTGTTCTCTTCTTCGTGGACGATAAATCAGCCACATATTTTCCTGACAGTTGCCAGGTCGACCCTCAGACCGTATCAGCCTACTCCCTGTCACTCTGCGGCGGGTATGCTGTGGACTTGGTTCTCGTGCCCGCGCCCGGATGCGTTCAAGGAGCTACGCTTCAGCAGCCTGTTGATGATGTCAGCGCACGTCTTCTTGTACTGGTGTCGGAGCAGGGAGTACACGAAGGGGTCGCAGGCTGCCTTGCTGTAAGCTAAGCACTTGGAGACGATTCCCCAGTGGGGGTTGATAGGCACCGCTGGAAATAACTCCACGATCCTGCAGCCAAGCATAAAGAGAGGGTGGTGAGGGTGGGGAGGGGGAGCAGGGGGAAGGCAAGTCAACATGCTGGAAAAGGCATGCATGCCCTGAGCTTATTATGCAGAAATAATAATACATAATACATTTGCAAGACAGTGGGCCCCATGTACCAACGCTCTCGTAAATTTACCTTATATTATCTTAACAGGAGAAAAAAATGAGAAGTTCTTAACGTTCTTAAATGTGCTCTTATCCAGGCGTGCTAAATGATGAATCCTACTTGATCAGAAATTGGAGAAGCGTGGCCAAATGTTTGTTATTAGCATAGGTAACACCGCCTCAGTGCCATATAAGGGCAGGTATTGTGTCATGAGCATGACACATGACAAATAATTGGAAAGGTGCCACCAACTCCTACTCAGTGTACTAGAAAAATGTATAAATAAATTAATAAATCAGTAAGTAATAATAACAATAATAATAATAAAAGCAGCAAGTCTTCATATTTGAGAGGCTGGACCCATGAAAAAATATCAAAGAAAATACAAAATAATTTATTCAATTGAATAGTTCGTTTCAAATATAAAGTTTATTCATGGTTTTTCTAGTTTCTAGTAAAAAAAAAAAAGAAAAGAAAAAGCTGGAGCCATGAAATGTGTTTGCAGAAAAAAATCTTAAACATTTACCAAAATAGTTGCAAATTATTTTTCTAAACAACTGAATAATCATCTCAGCTGCTATTGCTATATTTTCATATGGTTTATGCGCAAAAATCTTTATTGTAAAGTAACTAGTAACTAAAATCATCAAATAAGTATAGTGGAGTAAAAAGTGCAATATTTTCTACGGGAATAAAGTGAAGTAAAAGCAAAAGGTGGCGTGAAATTAAAATACTCAAGTAAAGTAAAAGTACCTATAATTCCTACTTTAGTAAATGTAATACTATGTTACGTTCCACCTCTGATCAGCAGAGGGACACACGTTAATTAAAATTACAGTAGTTGGAATCAATGGACCAAGTATAGTAATATTTCCTAAAATATCTATTAAAACATTATTGAATTCTAATTATATGATATTCATGCATTTTTTATCCTCAAATTTCCTCAATTTTAAAACTTCTGATTTCTCATGTTGGACTAACAGTTTGTGTACAGTAAAAACTTACACTTGGGCAATGACTTCCGTGTCAGATACTGCCAAAAAAAGCTGTCCTTTCATGTCAGTATGATATGCAACTGGGTGCCATCAGTGTGTAACGGCGTTTGACAGTGTCAGGAGGGACTGCGGCCAGAAAACAACGTAAGTGAAGAGGTGAAAAGTGTGAGTGGGGCGGGTGGAAGAAGAGGTGGATGGTTCCAACAATCACCAACAGTCACGTGAAAGGCCAGTGTCTGCTTCCCATATTATCCCATATTCCCAAACGTAAAGCCAAACCCTGTGATTTTTGTTATACTCACTTTGTTGTACTGACATAGTACATTTATTTTGAAAGAGACTGTATGCAAACTGTACATCTCCTGTGAAAACGGAAGTGTATTTTGAAAAGACATAAAGCATGTAAAAGGCTAAAGATGACACGGTGTCCCAGAATGTCGACAACCAACGCACCCAGGGTACCTTGCACGTCGTATGTAGACGTGGAAAGTCCATGACCTAGCGGCACTATGTCACAAGGTCAGAGTGACAATGTGTTACAAAACCTGGATTGTTTTTTCTTATCTTAGTAAGAGCGTTCTCAACTACTCATCAGATTTTCTTTTAACTATGAGAAGGGCAAATTTAAGAAAATCCCAGAAATCAATAGGTATTAAAAATATATGTGAATAAAAATAAGAGATTTTTTTGTATATAGCTTCCTGCATGTTGCCTATAACTTATTATATTTTATTGCTGGGAGCAGGGTGCTTCTTTACTACTGCAGTTACGTAAAGACCTAGTGTTTATTTCCATACAGAGCCATCTAAGTAAGCGCTTAGTCTGTCTTAAGTTATTAAAATGTAGGCAGCTGTGTGTAAATTCACAGCGAGTGCCTACTTTTCATCTCATTTCTCATTTACTGCCAGCAGCATTTCATGTGAGAAAAGGCAAAAGCAGAACCACCGGAAAAATAAAACAGATCTGTCTTAGCAATAATAAGCGTCTGGAAACGAGCCAGTCAACTAGTGTTATTTAATACAGTATTCAACTGAGGGCCGGCCAGCGAACAATAAAGCACTGTGAGTTCTTGGGGGAAAGTACTGTTCTGTATTTCTAATACTGTATGTCTGATTTAAAGAACCTGAAGGCTGTTGTTTGCACCTCACAATGATCTCAGCCGTGCTCATGAAGACATAAAATTGGTGCTTTCATGCTAATTTTTGTGAAGTGTGAAAACATTTTACCATACGTTGTGTCATAAAAGGCATTTAAAAAAAAAAACGCTGATCCTCTTGTCTTGCACTCTGTATGATTACTCTGTCCACAATCAAGCTCTGTCAGCACATTAACACCGGCCTCACATGGGCCAGTCGCCATCACTGGCATTTGCCCACACACTGCGCAGCACCGGAGCGAACAGGAGGTTAAGTCAGCTGCCACAGTGCACAGCGGGGCTTTTACTATACACATGATGACCCTGACAACAAATGAGCATCAGAGAGGCAGCCGAGGAGCTTTTAGCGTAATATATTCAGATGAGTAAACTGCCATTTGCAGAATGAGAGCATGTACTGTGCCGCTGTGGTCATTCATTACCCACAGTTTACTGAAAACACAATAAAACAACAATAAAACACTGAATATTTAACTTTACTTATGACAACCTGCTTTCATTTCAGAAACAACTTCCTCCATTTTTTTAATTAGAGATGTTATTGGGCAATATTTACTATATAAAGTCATTTCATATCCTACCACACAGTCATCTAATCTCCATCTTCATCACCTCAACAGTTTATGAGCAGAGGTGAATTTTAATTAAGATGTAGGGGTACTAAATTATGGAACCCATTTCTCATTAAAGTGATATTTTAAAGGGTCAAGCCACTTAGATTATGAAGCAAATAATCCGTGCTACATACTTATACTATGCATTTTTTGGTGTATATTTTGTCCCCACTGGAAAAGACAAGACAATAAAGTATACTCAAACTCAGACGTTGTAGGCGGTACAGTTTCCTACGAAAAGTGGAAAATGGGTACATATCCAACGTAATCATGCGCTAGTAATTCATGTATAACCCATATTCAGATTCAGATTTTTTTGTTTGTCATTCTAATGCTCCACAAAAAAGTGTTTCAAACATGCCACCAATTGATTATATCCTTGTGAGACCCTGTGTCCTCACATGAGGACATCTCATTTTGGGTTTACTTGACCTTATACTTCATTCCACTTAACTTAGACCTGTTGTCCACGTTCGAGGACAAGTTTTTGGCCCATCCAGTGGCCTTGGCACAGCGCAGAGAAGACGATCAACCTTGACAAGGTTTCTGTCGGTGAACACATGAAAGGATGATTTGCACAACACACTAATCCATGTAAAAACAAGATGGCAGCCATCTCTGCCAAGTCAGTCTGCAGCCAACCCGATACAAAAGTGGACAAGGTCCAAAACCTGATCACATTTTATGGTTGAAACTTGTTTATTTATGATCAATAATGTTTGTAGTTTGATAAAGCATATAAATGTGACTAATTTTTGGGGCATCGGTAGTGTAGTGGATAGTGCTGACGCCCCATGTACAGAGGCGATGCCTTGCTGCGGCGGTCGCAGGTTCGATTCCAGCTCGCAACCATTTGCTGCATGTCACCCCCCCACTCTCTCTCTCACCCCATTTCACTCTGTCCTGTACATTAAAGGCAAAAGCCTAAAAAATAATCTTTAAAAATGTGACTAATTTTAGTAACAGGAACAAGCTAAGACACTGTTAATTAGGAAGCACTCGTTTGAGGACACTGGGACTTAATTACCATAGACAGTGTTTAGTTTTCACTCTGGGGTTTGAACCAGGAAATTTCTTGCTGTGAGGTGACAATGCTAACCACTGCATCACTGTGCCGCTCTAATACACTAACAGCGAGGAGAAATTAAAATTACATACGAAACAAAATTTCAGGTCACATGAACAATGCGCTGATGGGAGCAAAGAATGAAGCGGTTAGCATAGGGAGGGAGGTTGGGGAGGTGGATGGGTCTCAAGATACAGGACTTTCCCCCAGGAGACTGGTGCTCAGGACAGTGTGAGCGAACTTTTAGTGATTTTACGATACGTCCTCACCATGTTTTTTTCTAAACCTAACCTCTGTAACTTCAAATTAAATATGCAACTTTATGTTAAGTGTGTAACATCATACATGGGGCGCTAACTCATAGGATATCATACGAACCATTGTGTGAGGATGGAGTGCTTTTTCCCCCCATTTACGGCAGCTATATGCAATATTTTTCAAGCCAGTTTAGATAATAGGATGCCTGAAAATCTGGCTTCATTTGGGAAATACATGAGAAATTAAGAAAGATTTAAGAAGATTTAAGAAAAAAATCATCCTTCAGAGCCTACATCCAGTCTTGTCTTCATCAGTTTAAAACCATGACACAACAAATGCTGAGGATGACTCATTTTAGCTCCTGCCACCTAACAAGAGGCAGGAATTGTCTGATGATGCTATTTTTAGTTACATAACACAGGTAGGGTGGGAATTAATTTGGATTAAACAACGTCACAAGTTGACAGAATAAATATTTAGCTGACAAATGTGCTACATTTAAATCTCTGGGTTCAAACCAGACAATATTCGGATTAAACAGTCAATTTCTTAGACTGCTCTTGTTTGATATTCTCCCACAATGCAATGCCAAAAGGAAATGGAAGACCTTCTCATAGTCCTAAAATAACTAAAATGAACTGCGGATGTTAAACTTACAGTCATCTTTCACAGTTGCAGTTCAGTGGATGTCTGATGTTGCACATTTTGGGTCACTTCCTGTTGGTATAAAGCACTTAAGTATATTTATATTTTTGCATACTCACTTTGATGATTAGTATTTGGTACACACTGCATAGCATCAGCATGTACACAGCTCCTGATATCAACATACTTAATCATAACATAATAAAAGGAAATTAGGTCAGTTGTTCAACAGACAATGATGTTATAAGGCCTCAAAAATCTTTTTCCGAAATAGTTACTCTCTGTTTTCTGGGAGCTGTTTTACGACCATCCACTGTGTATATATTGTCAATATTCAGGTGGTATGTAGTGCTGTCTTTGGGCAACACTCAAAGAAATTATTTGGTCTATTATCAGGTTTAAAAACTAAACTAAGTCATGTAATTCTAACATAAACAAAAAAAGTAACATTTATGTAATAAACTAAAATAAAAACTGAGATGAATAGACTGAGTTTTTGTATAAGTCTAGGCTCTGTATACACTATAAATAAAAAGTGTATGTAGTGTATAGAAACTTTATATATTTTTATTTTTATCAAACATCTATGTTTTGTCATATTTTAATGCTTATTTATCACCCTTTCCTTTTTTCTCTTGCTTCTGACCTTTGAGCTGCTGTAATGTGGGAATTTCCCTGGTCAGGGATTAATAAAGTCTAACGGTATCATATTGCATCGTATCACATCATTTGGTATCATCTCGTCTATTCTTGTCTTATCTTATTGTACCTTATCTTATCTTGTCTATTCTTATCTTATTTTATCTTGTCTTATCTTGTTTTATCTTACCTTATCCTGTCTTGTCTTGTCTTAACTTGTCTTATCCTGTCTTATCTTGTCTTGTCTATTCTTATCTTATCTTATTCTGTCTTGTCTTGTTTTAACTTGTCTTAACCTGTCTTATCTTGTCTTGTCTATTCTTGTCTTGTCTTATCTTATCCTGTCTTGTCTTGTCTTATCCTGTCTTGTCTTATCTTAACTTGTCTTATCCTGTCTTGTCTTATCTTATCCTGTTTTGTCTTGTCTTACCTTATCTTATCCTGTCTTGTCTTAACTTGTCTTATCTTATCCTGTCTTAACTTGTCTTATCTTGCCTTATCTTGTCTTGTCTATTCTTGTCTTATCTTATCCTGTCTTGTCTTGTCTTAACTTGTCTTATCTTATCTTGTCTTGTCTTAACTTGTCTTATCTTATTCTGTCTTGTCTTGTCTTATCCTGTCTTATCTTGGCTTGTCTATTCTTGTCTTGTCTTATCTTATCCTGTCTTGTCTTGTCTTAACTTGTCTTATCCTGTCTAACCTTGTCTTGTCTTGTCTTAACTTGTCTTATCCTGTCTTGTCTTATCTTGTCTGTTCTTATTTTATCTTGTCTTACATTGCTTTGTTTTATCTTATCTTATCCTGTCTTGTCTTTTCTATTCTTGTCTTATCTTATTTTATCCCGTCTTGTCTTGTCTTGTCTTATCTTATCTAATCTTGTCTTATCCTTTCTTGTCTTATCTTCAATTCAATTCAATTTTATTTATAAAGCCCAATATAACAAATCACAATTTGCCTCACAGGGCTTTACAGCATACGACATCCCTCTGTCCTTATGACCCTCGCAGCGGATAAGGAAAAACTCCCCAAAAAAACCCCTTTAACGAGGAAAAAAAACGGTAGAAACCTCAGGAAGAGCAACTGAGGAGGGATCCCTCTTCCAGGACGGACAGACGTGCAATAGATGTCGTACAGAACAGATCAGCATAATAAATTAACAGTAATCCGCATGACACAATGAGACAGAGAGAGAGAGAGAGAGAGAGAGAGAGAGAGAGAGAGAGAGAGAGATGCAGGTAATGACAGTAGCTTACAACAACATTATTGAAAGTAATAATATTATAGTTATAGTTCTGGCTACTGTGGTACAATATGTTGAAAGTATGTATTAATATCTGGCAGTATACATGTGTGACAATAGTCATATGTGTATAATAACAGTAGAAGTATGACTAATGACTAATGATGGCAGCAGCAGCAGGAGGCATCTGGCAGGACCACGGCAGCAGCACAACCACACACGTCACGCTGTCCAGGCACCGCTGCGATATGAGTTAATCTGAGAGACAGTGGAGCACAAAGGCTCCGGAGAAGAAGCCGAGTTAGTGACATCCAGAATGGCCGAGTTAGCAAGATGCAGTAATAGGATGAGAGTGAGAGAGAGAGAGAGAGAGAGAGAGAGAGAGAGAGAGAGGGAGAGAGAGGGAGCCCGGTGTATTATAGGGGGTCCTCCGGCAGACTAGGCCTAAGTCAGCCTAACTAGGGGCTGGTACAGGGCAAGCCTGAGCCAGCCCTAACTATAAGCTTTATCAAAGAGGAAAGTCTTAAGTCTAGTCTTAAATGTGGAGACGGTGTCTGCCTCCCGGACCGTAACAGGAAGATGATTCCACAGGAGAGGAGCCTGATAGCTGAAGGCTCTGGCTCCTGATCTACTTTTGGAGACTTTAGGGACCACGAGTAACCCTGCGTTCTCAGAGCGCAGTGTTCTGGTGGGATAATATGGCACTATGAGCTCTCTAAGATATGACGGAGCTTGACCATTTAGAGCTTTATAAGTTAACAGTAGGATTTTAAATTCAATTCTGGATTTTACAGGGAGCCAGTGCAGAGAAGCTAAAACAGGAGAAATATGATCTCGTTTCTTAGTTCCTGTTAGTACACGTGCTGCTGCATTCTGAATTAGCTGGAGAGTTTTTAAGGACTTACTAGAGCTACCTGATAATAGAGAGTTACAGTAATCCAGCCTTGAGGTAACAAAAGCGTGGACCAATTTTTCTGCATCTTTTCGGGTCAGGATAGGCCTAATTTTCGCAATATTACGCAGATGAAAAAATGCAGTCCGTGAGGTTTGTTTTAAATGAGAATTAAAAGACAAATCTTGATCAAATATTACTCCGAGGTTTCTTACGGTAGTGCTAGAGGCCAGAGCAATGCCATCTAGAGAAACTATGTCATCAGATAAAGAGTCTCTGAGTTGTTTGGGGCCAAGAACAATAACTTCAGTTTTGTCTGAATTTAACATCAGGAAATTCGTGCTCATCCAAGTTTTTATGTCTTTAAGGCAGTTATGGAGTTTAGTTAATTGATTACTTTCTTCTGGCTTCATGGATAAATACAACTGTGTATCATCCACATAACAATGGAAATTTATAGAGTGATTTCTAATGATGTTACCTAAAGGAAGCATATATAGAGTAAATAGGATTGGTCCGAGCACAGAACCTTGCGGAACTCCAAAACAAACTTTGGTACGTAAGGATGATTCATTATGAATGTCAACAAACTGAAAATGATCAGATAAATAAGATTTAAACCAGCTCAGTGCAGAACCTTTTAGGCCAATTAAGTGATCCAGTCTCTGCAGTAGAATTTGATGGTCAATTGTGTCAAACGCTGCACTAAGATCTAATAAAACAAGTACAGAGACAAGTCCTTTGACTGAAGCAATCAGAAGGTCATTTGTAATTTTAACTAGTGCTGTCTCAGTGCTATGATGCACTCTAAATCCTGACTGAAATTCCTCAAATAAATTATTATCATGGAGAAAATCACACAGCTGGTCTGTGACTACTTTCTCAAGGATCTTGTCTTGTCTATTATTGTCTTATCTTGTCTATTCTTGTCTTGTCTTATTTTATCTTATCTTGTCATGTCTTATCTTAACATGCCTTATCCTGTCTTGACTAATCTCATAACTATAGCTCATAAAATGTACCTAATTTATTTTAATAAACTTTATGTTATTACTATTTGAATGATTTTCCCCGTTAAAGTTTTTTTTGTCTTTGTTTTTTTTGAGGAATTATTCCTTATGCACTGTGAGGGTTCAAGGACAGACGGATGTCGTATGCTATACAGCCCTCTGAGGCAAACTGTGATTTATGATATTGGGCTTTATAAATAAAATTCAATTGAATTGAAATTCTATGTATTTTAAATATGTTGTGTTATGTTTTAAATATACCTCCTTTATAGTCACCCATAACGGGGGTGACAATAGTTTCTTTTGAGATGCTTACAGCATTAGAAAAACTTTATTTAATTTTGCTTTTTTGTCATGTAATCTGATCTGTTTACAGTGGAGGTGATGACTCTCCATTATTGGGTTTCTTTCTTCTCCCTGCACATTATATTTTTGTATATTTGTCATGTCCTTTATGTGATTTTAATGTACAGTTTCATTTGAGTTTCCTCTCACATGTCCACTACATCACTTACGTGTCTCACACCCTATGCCTCATGTGACATCCTCTCTATGTCCGGTGATTGATGCGACTGGATTCCACCTAACTAACTGATGCACCCGACGAACTTGAGGAGAAAAGTGCTAATGCAGCAGCAACAGCAGAGCAGAGGCATATTACTTATCACAAGGTCAGCCAATCTCATCTTCCAACTCTGGCCACTGTGGAGAGTAAGCAGAGGAGGAGGTGGTGGTGGTGGTAGGGGGGTGGGAGGGTTGACAGCAGAGGAGGGAGCTTTGGGGGATACCAGCAGAACAAAAGGGCTGCGTACACCGCAGTGTACCAGCGTGGCAGCCATCTCCCGCCTGCATGGTGTCTCTCACCTTGTGATCACATAGGGAGCGAAGCAGAGCATGAAGGTGCCGATGAAGGTGCTGATCTTCCTCGTGGCTCTCTGCCGTCTCCTCTTCTGCTCCTCCAGGCAACGCTGGCGAACACTGGGAACACAGAGTGGGTTTATAAAGACCAGACAGTCTCTCCAGATATCTCACAAAAGACAGCGAGGAGTGGGTGCCTTGAAGGGGTTAAATACAGGAGGCTGCGCTGAGGCAAAATAATTAAAAGCCACTGATGTAACCCAGAGTGACCCAAAGTCCCCACTTCAAGAATTACAATCTCAACTCTAAATGTGTGTGTGTGTGACTTTGTGTCTGGTGCTGGTGGGCTGTGATTTCATGATGACAAGGGCATAGGCTTTGTATCAACATTTGGAGGGATACATATAAAAAGCCAATCTCATCTTTGGGGGTTCTCCACTAGAAAACTGTGAGCATCAAACACTTGATTTCCTGCATTCTGGTGAATTTTCATGCACCAATTTACGGTGTAAATGTCTTTAATCTCGTCAAAATAAAAGTCTTTTACTACATTTATTTTTTGATAGCTTTGTTGCATATGACGTCATACATCGGTGCGCTGTCCAGATGGAGGGCGGACAACTGGAGGCAAAGACTACCAACACTACACAAATGCCTATGATTTGTGCTAATTAAAGCTGCTCCAATCAATCAACTTGGGAAGAAAATAAGGGCCATTTTAAGTCCTGAAAATAGGAGGACATAAAGGGAAGGAAAAAAATCTCACTGAGGGACAGCAGCAGTTGTGGATCAAAAACCTTCATCTTTGGTCTGAAGGAGCAGAGTCAACTAAATATCAAACATGTTGAGTTGGATGCAATTACAATGTGCTGTGACAACTTCTCCATGTTTTTAGCCACGACCCAGATAGGATTATTAGGATTATTTTTTGGCTTTTTGCCTCTATTGAATAGGACAGTCTAAGTGTGAAGGAGGGAGAGTAAGGGGGATGACACGCAGCAAGGGGCTGGAGACCAGAATCAAACCTGCTGTCACTAGAGCAAGGGCATCGCCTTTCATATATGGGCTGCCTGCTCTATCCACTAAGCCACCAGGTGCTCCATGACCCAGATTTTTAACAACCCAATCTTGCTCTTAAATCGCCAAAATCCGTTAATTCGGCAGTGACCTACGGTGTCCATTAACATCGGCTTGATATTCAGCCGGTCGCTGTTATCTGTTATAGGTTAACGGCATCAGGGGTAACAAGGGCGGGACAAGAACCAAAGTTAAGGCAGCTAAAGTCCTAGTAGGGTGGGCAGGAGTGGTGATGGATGGGTCCAACAAACACCGACCCTCACCCGGAAGAGCGGTGTTTGCGTCCTGTAAGATTATAAAACCAAACCCTGTTCTTTTTTACTAAACCTGACCACTTCCTTTTGTTGTCTTAAACTAACCATGTGTTTTTGTTGCCTGAACCTAACCGCGTGTGTTAGCTGTTGGAGGAAATAAAAATGTCAATTTGCAGTGTTGTACTGATGTAGTGCTTTTATTTTGAAAGAGACTGTATGTAAACAGTAAATTTCCTGTGAAAACAAAAGTGTACTTTGAAAGAAGACAATGCATATAACAGGCATGAGTTGACTCGGCGTCCCAGAACATCCACAACCAACACGCCCAGGGTACCTTGCACATCCATGACCAAACGTTGATATGTGACGAGGTCGGAGTGAGTGTTGTTTTTAACTGTGTTTCACCAGACCTTTGGGAACGGTTCACCTAGCCGGTAGAAAATAGTAGCTAAAGTCAGCTAATGTTAGCTAGTAATGTTGACCTGACAGCGGTGCATCCACGTACAGAGCTAAAAGACAGTTCTACTCAAGCACATTTACTCACCCAGCTGAAAACAAGGCAGCAGTTGTTTCAATCGTGGACCCAACTGGATACAAAATACTTATAGTCCACTGGACTCTTGTACGCTTTTGTAAGCTTGCCGTGTAACTTTAGTAACTTTAGGAGGTCTGGAGGACGAGGTGATTTGTAACAACAATTGTGTCCACAAAATCTATTTTCTGTTTTTTAATTTTCTGACAATACCTGCTGCCTGCAGGTTCTCCGAACTTTTATGTACTCACTTTCCATCATATACAAAACACATAGTATGGGGACCGCTCACTTCCTGCCGCCCATCTGAATTTAACGTTACAATAGTCACGTGATTGCTAGTCTCCATATACAGACTCTACATTCAGTGAATGTAGAGTCTGTAGGCAAACCCCGGAGATCTTGCCTCCGGAAGAAGAGCGGAAGAGCCCTGATTTCCGGTTGTAGGCTGTTTGTAGTCCGCGTGATACTGACCAATCACGTTTGAGCCGGCTGCAGTTGTTGCCAAGTTAAACGGTCCGTGCGGTGAACTAACGAGGCGGAACATAATTGGCGTCACTGCAAACTCTGAATCCATCGCAATGGTTCAGCATATTTACTTATATATAAACAGAAGTCAGTAACGGAAATTCGCCTCCTCTGACCAAATCAAACCGGAATGCCAAAAAATCAGGGGTCTGCCCCCAGAGGCTGTATCGCCGTCTGCCGAAAGTCAGACGCCAAATACAGCCGATGGGTTCTGAGAATGTGTGATTGCAAACAAGCTAATGGAGGGGACAAATTCACATGTTTTAAATCAGTGGTTCCCAACTCAATGGGTCGTGGGCCCATTCTGAATGGACTGCAAGTGACTCGTGAAAGTGTCAAGTCTGTAAAAACCACACGTTATTTTGAAGTATAGTGAATTTCCAGCACAAGCTTTTATTTTGAAGTGCTGTTTTCTGTTGTAGAGCGAATAAAAGACGGACAGCTACTTAACGGAGACAGCAAACTAACTCGACGACAGTATGACGCTGAATATATTAAAGTGTGTGGACCTTGAACTAATGACTGAGGAGCAATTTGGACCCCGTGGGTGGACCAGTTGGGAACCACTGTTCTAAATATTGATGGGGACGTGTCCCCTCGGTCCCCCCTGCAATCTACACCCATGCATGATGACACACTGCTTCAAGTAATATTTAATGAAACAGAGGTCGTCAGTGTGAGTAAAAAGAGGCACGAGTTAGAACACCAGCATTATTGTACAGTATGTAACCAAACTCACACTGCTGGATCTCTCTCCCTCTCTCACACACACACACACACACACACACACACACACACACACACACACAGGCAGAGTACAGCAATCACTCTGGATGGCATTTCAATAGAATCAAATTTTGCATCCCCTCTGAATACTGATGACACAATTCAGATGTCAGGGCAGAGACGGCGGAGCATCATTAACTGTACTGTTGTACAATATGAAATGGGATGATGGCTCCAGCTACGATAACTGCCTCCAGTTTTTTCCTCCTTTTTTGATCAGAGGGGTGATTTGTACAGTTTGTTCTTTTCTTATAGGCGGTCTCCTCTGACTGAGTAATGTCTGTATTTTCTTGCCAAATGTGAGGCTAAAGCAAGGGTTTTTGTCTCAGTTCTGGGGGAGAAACATTTGATTTTGTACACTCTGGTGTATTTGTAAGGATTAGTTTGTGGTGTAAGTGTCTTAAATTTTATTTTTAAAAGTTCTCTGCTACTCTCATGTTTTATTGGGGGGGTTTATTGGACCTGCCCCCAGTACCCCCCCCTGAAATCTGCACCCATGGCCTTCAGGGCAGTGAGAGGTGCTTGGATGCAGGAGTGACACAAACAGGGATAGTAAGTTAAAGGAGCTCACCTGGGGTGTATATCCACCAGCAGCACTAAAGTTTGCATTGTGATAACGTCGATCCTCTTACAGTGAAACCTCGCCACTTTAAGCACTTTGAGGTATGTGACACACAGCACTATAAAAGACAGGAGAAAGGTGAAGGAGTGGAAAAAGACGGTGAAGATAACAAACTGGGTCCGACTGCTCGCCCTCGGGTTGGACAGGGTGCAGGACGCGTAAAGCCGGTGGTATCCCACCCAGGAGAGGCAGGTGGCCACCGTGGAGAAGGACATGGAGTGCGCCCACGTGTACCCGAGCACAAACGCCGCGTCCTTGTGGCGCATTTTGGAGTGGTACCTCAGTGGGAACACCACCGCGATCCACCTGTCGATGCTCAGCGCTGCCATGCTCAGCATCGAGTTGGTGGACAGGAAGGTTTCCAGGAAGCCCACGATCTGGCAGAAGCCGTCCCCTCCCGGCTGAGCCTTGCTGACAAGTCCCACCAAAGTGAGTGGCATGTTGGCCACGGTCAGCAACAAGTTGCAGAAGGTGAGGTTGAGATTGAACAGACCGGGCACCTGCTTGCGGATCTCCGGGTTGTACAGAAAGCAGATCAGCACCAGGATGTTGGACAGCAACGACACTATGATAATCACAACCACCAACACGGAGAGAATCACCTCCGCAGTGTCCATCCTGTGTCCAACTCACTTATCTCCACTTTTTGTGCGCATATCCAGTCTTTGTTGTGCAGCTGCAAAATGGCATTAATCACCCATAACCGCGTCCACGCATCCCCAGATCTCTCCACCGGCGGAGTTCCCCTCTTTTCTCCTCTCCACTACATTTCCTCGAGCCAGCAAAGATGATCCGGCATGATAAGAAGTATGTTTAAGGATTCGTATAAGACGATATTCCCCCTTTTTCTCCCCCTATAAACTACAGGAAACCAGCTCCCGTGCCAAAGCTGCTCTATTCTGGCACTGCGTCTTGCAGTGGGGTTTTGTCGTCCTGTGATGCGCTCTCGAGGCATCACCCCTCCGCACACACTGCACAGTGTGTGGGCTACTTGATCTCTCCCCCGTCTCCTCAGAAACAGTAAAACACAAAGGACATTAATAACAGTGAAGTGGGGATTCCTGCTAGAAAAAGAGATTCCTCAGAGAGTTTCCTTCCTGTCACATTATCCAAATTTACGCATGCAGAAAAAATGTTCTAACTAAAAATGACACATCTGATGTGAGTATAGTTTGTTCTTTTTTTACTTGGACAAAAATATGCAATCTAAATTGAATATGCATGCCATTTTATGATGTATTCAAGGTGTCTTTTCTCATTTAAAGTCTCTTAGATGTCTTGGAGACCTGGCTATGGAGGCAGCAGTGTCATAAAACAAAACAGACAACACATTAATGTAAAGACAACTGTCACTCAATATCCTGTCAAGCAAGGGCGTAGGTTTTGTTTCAGCTTTCCAAAGGGGGAGGGGGCACACATATGTAATCTCTGCAGCAAAATCTGAGCATGGATCACTTACTTTCCTGCATAGTAGTGAATTTTTATGCACATTTTTGTTTATAGAATTCAAATTTTTATTGATTTTGGTTACGACAGTTCGACACATTAAATGAGACGTTCAATTTTGGCAAACAAAAATAGAAATACAATACCAACAGGGTAATAGAGAGAGCCCAGTCCCAGTATGCCAAAAAAAACAATGAAAATAACAAGTTTGAATGAATAAACACATTCAAATTAATAGTGATAATAATTTAAAGAAAAAGAATAAATACAAAAAACAGGCAGGGCAAGACAAAACAAAAATCACACTTCCAGACCCACTCATTTTGTCAAAATAAAAGTCTTCATAGTCTTCATTGAGGGGGTGTTCACCATAACATGAATTCATGATTGCTTCGGACCATCATTTCATTCCCCCACCATGCTCTACTCAAATATCTTTAAGTCTGCCTCATCAAATTGATGAGGAGCAACATCCTCCATTTCCCTGGAAGCCCAGCTGATGACCCCACACTCCGCTGCCCCTCTGGACCTAAATGTGGAGAATCTTTCCTCTGGGATTCATCGCTGTGTGCTGCGGCACGTGAGCCACTGAGGCACTGGAGCAGAGGTGGTGGTTGTGGTTGCAGTGAGGGGAAGTGGGGCGGGGGGCGGGGGGTGCCAGAGTGAGAGTGTGTGGGCGGAAAGAGTTATCGTTACTGCAACATGCATGCACATTGTATTTGACTGTGGAGATGTGATACTACGCAGGGCCACCGTGTTCTCTTCCTTCTCTCCTGGGTGACAAAAGGTGAAAAAAAGAAGACATTTTCCTTGAAAGAGACTCATTAAAATGCCATTCTGTAATGGTGTCTGTGGAGTATAGGGGCTGATGTTAGCTCCCGATGCAAAGAGAAGGCGGCTGCAGGGGAAGGACAAAAAACCCCTGCCAGCTGGGTGTTATTTGAGCTGAAATGCAGCCCCATTCTAGCGATGATGGATGCCTCTCCAGCATTATACTTGCACATGTGATGGGGCAGTCAGCCTTTGGAGAATGGCATACTCTGAGCGCTGTCATGCAACTGCTTGTGCATCTCGCTCCTGTCAGTTCAGGGGCCTTATCAGCATGGAGCCACCGGTTGATCTCAGGCACAAGAGCAGCTTTTCGTAGGCATCCCCTTAACTATTCTTTTCATAATTAAATGCCAGCTCCAGAGACAATAATGTTTGTGAAAGAAGTCATTGTAAAAATACAGTTTTGAGGGGACTGAGTGATACAGATGGAGATTTAATGTGCACGGGTGAGAGGATTGTGATGGATGTTTTTCTTTTTTAAAAAAGTGACTAATATTGGTCGCAACAAAGCCGCACAAACATCCCCATTAAGCATCATGCCACATTAGACAGATGTGCACGAAAATAGCTTTTGATAAACATAGGTGCTGTTTTTCAAAGGCCCCAAATGTCCTCTTTCATTTCACCTGAAAGAGGCTTTATTTGAGGAGAGCATTATGTCTAAATAGATCTATGTAAATGAGGCCTGATTGGAGCCGGACACATGGGCTTTGATGCCTCCTGGCTTCAGGTAATATCACCTTGGATGAATACAGTGCAACAGCTCCTTTGTCTGATGTTGGTTGAGTATGTCTCACAGATTAATTAGAGACACAATAAACACACAAAATATTAAGGACATTTGCCCTTTTTTCTTTAGAAAGTAAATGTGAATGAAGTCAGTCCAGGTAAAAGCCATTATTCCTTACTGATAACATCATCTATCCATCACAAAACATTGATGAGTTTGTGTACACTGTGCATGTAAGTGTAGCAGCAGGTCTATTGATGACTTTCGGGCTGCTACTAACAACTATTTTCATTTTCTACAGCCCTTTTTACACAGAGATCACATTGTAAGGCCGCTACAAAATCCCAGAACCAAATAACAGTGGCATCATGTCGCTCCAGAGTTTCATTTAAGATAGCCAGCAAGGCAGAAGCAAAAGAGGCGTGATGGCCGTGACATGTAACACAACATGGCAATAACAATCATTATCATGGTCCTCTGCTCGGAGGGTAAGGAGCTCCCAGACCTCATTGTTTTCACAATGTGCAGACATTTTCGGCTGCTGTTCTTCTTTGAGTTAGCTGCTAACTGCTATCAGCTACTTTTTAAATCTCCTACGGCAGGTCGCAAGCATATCAAAACGTTGCTGCCCATGATCCTGTCCTGCCAGCTGTCCCTTTTATACAGATATCGTTTCAGTGCTGATACTACCTCCGAAGCCAGTTTAAAGGTGAGACAACTTTGTCCCCAAATTCCACGTTTGTACTGTTTATCCAGAGTGGCGAGATGGCATAACAGTGTGAAATTCCCGCCTTGATGAGGCAGTGTAAAAAGGGCTTATATCTATCCCTTTTCTTTTGATTAATTGAATAAGTGTTTAATATATAAAATGTCTAAAGATGGTAGAAAATGAACATCACGATGCTCAAATTGTTTTGTTCAATCAACAAGCCAAAACCCAAAGATACTAGATTGGGAAACGTATAATAACAGAACAAAGCAGTAGATCCTTAAATTTGAGAAGCTGGAAGCAGTCATTTTTTTTGCATTAAAGATGATTAACTGATTACAAAAAATGACTATCAGCTCAGAGTTTGAGTGCTAGCTAACTTGTTCTTGCTAGTTTGCTTTTATCTGCAGTAGGCAGCTTTTTTTGCATCATCAGGTAAAATAACAAAGTCTTAACTGGTTGCAAGGTAGGTTCAGTATACAGAAGGACAATCAGTGGAGGGAAACAGATCCAATAGGGATGAGCCAGAGTCAGAGTCAATCAACAGACTAAATCCAAAAGAACTAGAAAAGGACACAGGACACACAAGAAGCTAAGACGAACTGGCACTAAGAGAAAACAAGACACACTTTAAGAGGCCGTTTACACGTTGCCGGCTATTTTCATAAACGGACATTTCACTGTCTCCGTTTTCAAAAAGATCTTCGTTTACACTTACCCGTGTATATATACACAAGAGCATGCCAAACCTGTAGGTGGCAGTGTAATGAGAAGCTCAAGCCTTCCATGTATCCATTGTCACCATAGCAACATAAGTCGCACTTTTGACACAGGTGCAAGTTCCGGCGCATACTGTGACGTCGACTGCCTATAACTCCGTTTACCTCCGTTTATCTCAGTTTACATGCAAACGCGCAACCGGAGTTTTCCAAAATCTCCACTCTGGCCGGAGTTTTTAGAAAGAATCGTTTTCAGAGGAGAAATCTCCGTTTGCGTGTAAACGAAGGGCACAAACGAAGGAAGATGTCTCCGTTTATCAAAATCACCGTGTATGTGTAAACGGCCTCTAAATACTCTGGTGAGAGGAAGGATAACAAGACACAGGTGAGGCTAATCAGGGGCGGGACAGACAAAACACAAAGGTGAAGTCATCAAAAGGGAGAGAAAACACACAGGGGCAGGAAGTGACAAGATCTGAAATGAGAGGAGATGTGAGTTTCAAAGGAAAACAGGAAACAACATGAATGAATGAATGAATGAAATTAAAAACATAACCTAAGAAACCTGACCTGTGACACTTGGCTTTAGAAAATCTAGACAGTGACGGGAGACTTTGTCCAATCACAGGTCATTTCAGAGAGAGGGCTGTGTTATTGGCTGTTCTACAAATGCAGATCTGTGTGCAAATTTGCTTGGTAAAACTTGATTCAATGGCGAAGAATCCTGCAGAGAAAGTTGCTGTTTCAGCTCTGGCAATAACTGCCTACACTTGCAAAGACAGACCTATCAAAAACAGAGTCTAAAAGAGAGTAAACAAAACATGTGTTAATATTGGCCAAGCATTTCAGAGATGGAGTGAAAATTTTGCTTGTAGCCAAAGGCTAACAGCTGTATGTAGCTAGCTAAAGCCTTAAATGACAGTATGTCACCTTAGAGGGATTTACAGGCCCACAAATTTGCAGTGAAAACAGGATGGTCACTCTCTTAGAATTGCAACTACTTGACAACATCATGATCACAATCACGATCACAATTATTAAAATGGATGACTAGCAGCCTCCTGTATGAGGTGCATGCTTATGACATGAATGTGTACAAAGAGCACCGAATACAGCATTGGAAACAGGGTCTTCATCTGTATAAAAGTTGGTAAGTGGTGCATTAAGCCAAAAAACTTCGGGGTATTAAACTGCTCAGATCTTCCGTATCGTTGGGCCCATAGAGGAGGCGCACTAGAGATTTCTGGCGGCCAAGCAGCTAGCTTCCGGTTTAGCCTTCTGCGATCTTAAATGGCGATAGAATAAATCAATTGTGTGGCTCTTCTAGAAATACTATCAGACCAAATGGATCAAATCCTGATAGTGAAACGAGTCATTTTGGTTGTGACCCAAAGTATCCACTGATTTACACACGTCTCTTTCCCAATGTAAGTCTGTGGGAAAATGTGTTTTTGGGGCCCAGTGGCATCACGTGACGGGCCTGGAAGTCGTAATTCCACTGTTTGGCCAGTATGTCAAA